CCTCTTCTGCTTGTGAGCTTTCAAATACTTGTAATTTTTTGGACCGAACTTGTACTCCATTTATCATTGTGAGCATAGTTAAGTAGTATCTTAATGAGGTTAATTAGTATTGTAGTGTTATATTTGTTGAAGTCCTAAACCAGGACACCCTCGCCCAAGAATCGTGTTGCCTAGGTGATAGCTCGGAGACTTGTCCAGAGATATCTCTGAAGTGCGAGTCAAGAAAGATGGAGTCTCCACTAACTCCCAAAATATAGGTGGTTAATAACTTCCCCGAATAAGGGATCGCTTGACGCCACTAAGGGTGACTCAAACCCTAAGCCTTGAAACCTTTATAAATACATCTCCCATAAAAGGGAAGGACAAGCCCTAATTTATACACATTCTTTACACCCTAAAAAAGCATAATTTTCACTAAGGTATTAATACCCTATTGACCGTAACCATACACTTTCTCTCAAACATCATCGGTCATCAACAAAGCCTCGTACCTCACTTGAGTTGGATTTCTAAACTACCTAAAAACTCCATCGTACAGGGCTTCTCGCCTTCGTGGGAAATCCATAACTACCATATTATATTATAAACCTACTAAGGCCTGAGTTTCCATACCTTTGCAGAGGGAACACACACACCTCAGTTTTTTGACCAATACAATGACACCCACTATGGGACCCCGATAAAACTAACCTGGACGACACCCTCTTTTATCAACATTACCCTTTCCACTGACTACCCTTCACCTCTACATTTAGCAAACTTCAACTATGGTTAATATGAGAGCTTGATCCCCTACGCCAGAAGGTACTAACTGTAGTAATAATGTCGATGCCTTGGTGGAGATGTGTGCCGCCATGGAATAATTACGCCACTATAACCAGATGTTGAAGACGATGTCCACAACATAAAATAGTGACAACGTGATTCCAATCCTAGAAATATATATAGTTGTTGTACCCCCTAACCACCCTCAAACAAGATATTGGAGGGGGGGGGGGCGCTCTCCTAGAGGGTTTCAAACCTCGCTCCTTGGCCAAGTTTGATGTGCGCAATGATCTTTACAAACATGTTACCTCCATAAATACACAGATAACCATCATAGGAGACAAACTCTCTGAAATGCCATGTTCTATTTGGAACTTTTAGGGACACCTCACTTAGATGATATATGGGTTTACCATGTGCTTCTATCAACAACTACCAAGAACTTATAAAGAATTTGGTACATTAGTTCTCCGCCAGTTGCCATAGAAAGATGTCCACTACCAGCCTATTCAATATACACCAGGGTCCATTAGAATCACTGAGGGACTATCTCGTCCTCTTTAATGAAGCCCCCATGAGGTTTGTCTCACCAAACCAAGAAATATTTGTGCGGGCGTTCTGAAATAGAATTAAGGTGGGACACTTCAACAACGCCTATAAGCCAACATTGTCATTGGCAGAAGTGGTCACCAGAGCTAAGTGCTAGATAAAGGGCGAGGAAAGCAATGCCAGAAAGAAGGAACTCGACGCCAAAGAGTGTGTTTCCAATGTCGAGAGCTCACACCACCAGAGTAAGAGCAACTATACCACGCCCATAACACACAAGTCTGACATTCAAAAGGGTAGGTAAGACGATAGATAACTTCACACCTTTGAACACTCGCTGTGAGCAAATCAGGAGTGAGGTACTCCATTTGCACAACATCCCTACGCCGCTTGCCCCTAAGGCGGATGTAATGGGTTATGAACCCGGAAGATGGTGAAAGTTACACAGGATAAAGAGACATCACATCGAGGAATACAACTAGCTCAAGAAAGAAATTGAAATATTAATACATGAGGGGAACTTCAAGAAGTATGTGAAGGGTGACTTCTCCCGCTCTCCAGACAAGTCTAGCTCGCGCAGGTGAGACGATGTTGGGATCCCCGGGCCCAACAAAGCCAAAGATGTGTCTTAGGGAGATGACAACAAGGTTCCGCCCTATACACTTAACATCATAGCATGAGGGTTCGCTGGAGGGGGGAAACCAACTCCACCAAAAAAAGGTACACTCGCCGGATCCTGAGTGTAGAAAACCTCCCTCAGGTCAAGATTGAGAGCGAGCTCCAAGTTTTGGAAGCAACAATCTCTTTCTTGGAGAAGGATGCAGATGGAATCCACCCTCATAATGACGATCCCATGGTAATTACCGTCAAATGTGAAGACTAGGATATTAAAATGAGTTTTCATTTGCCAAGGGAGTTCTACAACATATTGTACCGGGAGGTGTTTGAAAGACTTCGTCGCGACTCAAAAGACCTAAAGCCCTTCAGAGGATCACCGGTTGGATTCTCCGAAGATCAGGTACAAGTAAAGGGATATATCATGTAACACCCTTCTAACCTCACATGTATTTCTCATATAATTTACGGAATAAATCAAGGAAAACCACCACTAAAGGGTGTCACACTTCATAAAAATATCTTAAAAACAATCCTGCTCCATAACACGGGTTACATCAATAGTAGATACACCTTTTTATATTTTTAAACCAGTCACTCAACAACATCGCAGCGGATTTATCGTCATGAATAATCTTCTTTATAAAACAAAACTCATAATGTTTTTGTCTCATAAAAAGTTGGAATTAAAATCAGTTTAACAATCAAAATCTTCACAAAGTACGTCATCATAAAAAGGAACATAACATTTGCAAAACAAAGCATTCCCAACCCGATGTTACATATCAGAACAAGACACCTCTAATATATCAAAACTAATAAAAAACTCCAAAGTTATCTTCAATGCTCCTTGAGATTCTGGTATTCAGATCACAAATTTCCTAAGAGATGTCGAGACACCGATCTCTGAACAACAACCCAATGAACAAGTAAAACAATAAAACAATGCAGAACGATAAAGGGACACACAAAATTGTTAACCCAGTTCAGTGTACAATAACACTTACTCTGGGGGCTACCAATCCAGGAAGGAAATCCACTAAATAGTATTAATTCGAAGCTAAATTCCCCTGTTTACAACTTCTAACTTAATCACTATCCGTGCTATATTTCTACCTAAGACACACCTAGGTATGAGACCCCTCTCACTTCCCTTACAATCACAGACATTGACAAGAACACACAGTCACAAACAGTGACAAGAACACACAATCACAAACAGTGACAAGAACACAACTCAAAATACTTAGAAGACAATATTCAAGAACACACAATCACTCAATACTTAGAAGCTAAAGAGTGATTAACAATACTTACAACTCAATAGAGACAGTCTAACACAAGTATCAAAGCAATACAAGAGTGACTCATAATAATCAACAAAAAGATTAATACTTTTACAACTATGGCTTGTATATTCTTTGGGTATAGAGTCTTCTTTTTATAACCTTTTCTGGGCTGGATTGGGCTCCAAAAACACAGCAAAGAGACTGCACTAAGTCTGCAAAAACTTCTCCATAAAAATAGGTCTTCAATCTTAACTTTCCTAAAATGTCTTAACATTTAGAAAACTTGAATAACTTGAATACCAACATATATCTCTGATTTCTCAGTCTTGGACGTCATGTATGATTACTAAATATTCCCAAAATATTCAACATTTGTAGCATACTAAAATAATCTAAAAGTCCAACTATAATAGACACGATGCCAAACGATTCTGCATAGGACATCTTATTTAACATGTTTCCTCTGCAAGTTAGAGCATCCTACTTAACATGTTGCTGCGTAATTTGTTTTACTAACATTAATGCCAATCATAAAATAGAGAATTAACAATCTCCCCCTTTGGAAAATTTTGGCTAAAACAAATTAACAAATTATAATTCAGATTTCAGCAACAACGTGTTTGAAAAATTAAAAAAAATCAGAAATCCAAAAGTGATCATACACTCATCAAATATATCTCTCAACTTGGGAGATTAGCAGCAGAAATAAATGTCAGAGTTAGTCTTCAGAAGCTACTAAACACAACAACATAGAGAAATAATATTCTCAGTCTGGTTGATGTCAGGACATCATGTTCGACATCTCTTCAAAATAGTGCAAACAACTCCATTACCGCACATCAAACTCAACACCACAATACAACAGACTCATGATGAAAGAAGAATAAAGTCCTAAAGTCATGATGTACATGAGGAAGAAGATAGTTGGCACTCCCCCTCAACCTAGAAACCTTTACTTGCAATAGAGGGACAAATCTTCCTCTCAGGGAGCATAAGAGGACCCTTAGAAGCAACCGAACACCAGTGTTTATAACTCAGATCATATGACACAAAAAACAAGAGTAGACTCAGATACGAGTATCCTACCCAACATCATTGCAAAACAAAAGCAAATGCGAACAAACTTAAAAGAGGAACAAAAATAGAAATAAAACCTTTCTCACCCCTTTTAGCCAAAAATTGACAAACATATCAACCACAAAACCATACCCAAACAATACTCACCAATAAATGGAAAAAGCCATAAGAACTAATTTGAAAGCAACCAACACAAGATGATACAAGGGAAGGGATGACCTCTTTAAATAACTGAGTAGTTAATTAGGAATTAACAATCCTAGACTATGACAATGGCCTTGGTCAAAGAGAACATTATTTGAGGAAGATGATTGCACCATAAATAAATGTGCACCGTCCAAGTCAGTTTTGAATGCCTTTATTGACTATGGACTGATTCTCCTGAAGGTGATAGTTCCAATAAATGCGCATGCATAGTCAAACACACGTTTCACACTCTTTCTGACACGTACTTGATTACACCGTCCAAAATACTCCCTTGTTGGTCTCAAAAGAAATAAGTCCTGAACAATGTCCTGACATCTAGTCAAACATTGTCTACTTTCCCTTGTATTCTTAAAATATATCAAAACTTCTTTTAGCAATCAGTAAAGTATGTTTCA